TCTGTATTTTCAAGTTTTTTTTTTTTCCTTTACAATCTTGCTTTCCCTCTCCCCTAATTATTTCCACGGTCTCCTTTTTTCACCTCCCTTTCCCCCTCCTTGTCCACTGCACTTTTTTTAAAATTCCAAAGCCGCTTCTAATGAAGTTCCATTAAACAATTACCGAGTGGAATTTTATGGCAAAAGCAAAATTGTAATTGTGAAAGGAAATTGTTGGGCTATTATTCAGCACCAGGACATCAATTCTCAGTGCTACTATATTGGCAAACAAGACACATTAAATAAAAAAGAACCCTCTCAGGCCCATATCAACAACAGACCCTCCAAGACCAAGATCAAGTCTGGACTCCAAGGAGAAAACCTATGACAAAATATTTAGACTTATATTTTGGGTTTTATTTTTTTCTCAAAAAAATACAAAATCCTTTAGAACACAAAATTAATTAAAAGATTCATTGTTGAAATTAAATTACTGGTTGCTATTAAATTATCTAAACAAACTAATATGGTATTTAATGCAGTCAAAAATGGGTGCTAATTCGTGACTGCAAAAAAACTAGATGATAATTATTTGTCATATGAATTATAAAAAAACTGACAAGAAAAATTTCTGTTTCTAAAGACATATTTATATGTACTTTTTGCAAAAATTAAGTTATGATTGCTAATATTGAAACTAAAATAAATGTGTTCATTTAGATGTATTGCGCTAAGACTGTAGCTGCTAAGATAAACACTAAAAATCTAGGGGAAGTGGTAGTTTTTTAAATCTCAGAGCAGATCTAATGTACGAATGAAAGAAAAAATATTTTTCATGATAGAAATAATGAGACCAAAATGAGATTTTGGCAGCATGAAATGCGCCAGTCAGTTCTATTACTTTCGATTTTAACTCACGTTCCTTGGTTTTGTTGTATTTTTTTATTTTTGTAATGTGGATTTAAAAATCAGCTTCGATCAAATTTTTTGAAGCTCAATAATGAGACCCAGCCCAAGACGGAGGCATCACATTCAGAGGACCAGGAAAATATGTTCTGGAGAGACCACTCTAAACGCCAAGAAAAATCTTGAGTCCTCCATCCCTGTTGGTTTCAGGCAAAATCGTAATGCTGTCAAAGGACACTTTTTTGTTTCTGTGGTCTAAAAATGGATGTTGTTCAACTCCTCCCTCAAGCTTTTCCCATGTTTCTCCTACAATGACAGCCCACTGCTCCCCAATGGGATGGGTTAAATGTAGAGAGTTAATTTTGTTGTTCTGTACTTGTGACAGTGTAATGACAATAAAATGCTGGAAAATGTTTTAGTTGTATTCTTAGTGCCACAGTGTTGAGAATCACTGCTAAACATTATCCAACATTGAAGGACTCTCCAGGGAGCTTATGTTTCCAATTCGTCTAGAAGAGAAGAGCTTACACGGCAAAATTCATGTTTAATCATAATCTGTGCTGTTTTATTGTGCAGAGTTTAATCATACTATTAAGTTCTCAATGGCACAAAGTTATTTGTAGATTTTCTTTAGACAGGATTACTAAAGGTAGACTCCAGTCGAAGACAGCTATGTTAGAACTCTGGCAAACCTTCAAAGAAAAAGAAAGTAGATCTTTGATGATCAGTGGCTTTCAGTCTTCAGACAGTTATTGGCTGCAAAATAAACTTTTAACATATTTTAGAAACACATGAACAGTTATTGGCTCTTTTCAAGTTTTTTTAAGACATGGTTGTTAATTTAAAAGAATTTTGAGGCCAAATTCCTTCTTTACCATTCCGGACCTTTATTATCAGTGCTGCAATCAAAACCTTCTTGTATTGCTGACCTTGTTTTAACTAGAATTTTGATTGTCTATCTTTGATAATACGTCACACAATTAGTCACTAGGCTTTAAAGCTTTAAATGTAATTTTAATTTAATAAAAAAAAAAAACTAAATGTTGGAACTGTTACTAATATAAAGTCGTATGCTTACATTATCACTGCTGCTTACCCTCATCACGGCTGCACTTTAAAAAATGAAAATGTCTTGAGAGCTGTACTGAACAAAATGTCTTTTTGTATACACTCTGTGTGTACAAAATGATAATAAGGTCTGTTCAAGTCAACTCTTTGTAAACACAAAATGATTATTTAATTTACTAGGAGCAAAACACAATTCAAACGTGGTCTAAATGAAATAGAAATACTGAGCGTTGAGGTTTATTAACTTGCTGACTTCTAGTCCTTTTAAGATGGGACGCTTATGGCTCTCTCCATGAGAAGCTCTGCATTCCAAAGATATCATCCTTCCCCCAGCCTAGTTTCCTGTGCCACAACTCTGTTGTTTTTGACTACTGCTGGCTTTTCTTCCCAGAATTTCTCACCTCTCTACTTTTTGTATCCTACTCAGCAGAACATTTCTTTAAGTTTAGGAATATTCATCTTTCAATAACTGTACAGTGTTTTCCATATGTTGCAAATTCTCCCTGTTTTAAACATTTATTATTACCTCTTTCTTATTTCTATTATTTTTTTTATAATAAGTCTCTTATTCTTGTTTCTGTAGCCTTGTGCATATCTGCATGCTCCCATTTGCCTGATGGTATACCTGAATTTCCTCACTTTGGGACAATGGGTATTTAATTCTGTTCTATTCCATTTTAAAAGGCCCATAATGTCTCCATAAAGTGTGCTTTAATTCAATTTTACAATTAATGTTAAGGAATATTTTGTTGTTTATTTTTGATTGATATTTTTGTTGTTTTTCCTGCTATAAACCATGAGGGTGTTTGGCCCTCATACACCAGCCTGCATTGAGCCCCGACCCTCTATATGTTTCGTGCTGATAACAACATCACAGACCTCCTTCACAGATTTCTCCACCGCTCTGTCTTCAAATCCACACTTATTCTCCCCCTATTTTCAGCTTGTTATACAAACAGAGCAGTAATACCTTCTCAGAGGCACACCACTTCATCTTTGCCCCTCAGCTGTCAGGCTTGATGTGCTGTGATAGGCGGATCAACATGGTGGGCAAACATACACACATGGAAAAAAGTGTTGGGATACAATCACACCCCGATGCTTCATGTGTCCTAACCTTGACCTGACACAAGACACCTCCATCTAATCCTCACAGCTGATACACCTAGACCGGTGTGTGTGTGTTATGTATGTGTCCTGACAGTCACTGTGATGCATATTTTATATGAGGCTGCTATAGTAAGTAAGTGGCCAAAAGTAGGACAGGAGAGTGATGGTGGTTGTTGGGGGCGGTGCATCTATCCTTGTTATATGTGAATGTGTTTTTTCTTCCTCACACAAGATGAAGAAACGTATTCAATTATCTTTTCTTTACTGCCTTTCAGTTTTTTACTATTTCCTTTCCTTTCATTGCCTTATCGTGAAGCCTCAGAGCTCATTTAGAGGTATGTCTATTAACCACACACTCAGACAGATGTGCACACTTGCTGGAACAAAAGAGGCCAAACAAACAGAGACCCCCTCAGCCGTTTGAGGACACTATCTGTTTAATGTTATTTATAAACTGCTTCATTCTGGCATTGTTTGATAACCACATAGAAAACATTTGGGCACCACAAAGGAAGAGAGGAAAATAATACACATGTGTGTGTGTGGGTGTGTGTGTGTGATTATTGAAATGAGAAAATAGCAGCAAAAGAAGAGGAGAGGAGAAAGAAAAACCAAAGCAGGAAAGATGGAGAAGAGAGGATGACAAATGGAAAGTGAAGAAAGACAAAAAGAGAAGAAGCACGTAAAACAGAGCAGTGAGCTGTTTATCATGAGTGACTCAGCAAAACAAATAAAAAAGGAAGCCAAAAAACTATTATAGGAATATTAAAAAAAATAACAAAGTTCCAGCTTTCAGCTCTTTGTATTTATATTTTTTTATGGAGAAAAGAGAGACAGCAGTGTCTCGTCTTTCCACTTTTTCTTTTTCTTTTTTTTTTTACAAAAGTTATCCTCACAGGAATAAACAGACACAATTTACATCACCTCTTGGTTCACAGCAGCACAGACAAAGTTCACTGGTATAGGGACCTATAATCCTATTTGTCAGGACAGTGACACTATACTGACAGGCCGCCGAATGTTCTCGACATCGAGATAGATAGACACAAAAAGGTGAGACTCTGTTGGAAACAAACGCAGGCAGGGTACAAATATGGTCCCTTGTCCTTGGGTTCCCGACAAACCAGTTTGTTTTAGGTAGCCTGCAAACTGGACCACAATTTCATTGCGCTTTTTTTTAGCAGCCTATCATGATTAAAATGTTTTAGCTTTGCTGTTGTTTGGTCATAAGTAGAGATGCAGCAATCAGAATTTTGTGGTCAGTCTGTCATCTGCTTTGATAAAGCCATGCCAACACAATTTTTGCCAGTTCCCATTTCAGCAGAAAAAAAGCCTTTAAAATATTTTTCTCACCTTCCTGCTTTGAGTTGAGAAAGAATTAAATGTATCGAGAGAAGAGGGACTGTCTCACTGCATTTATGACAGAGCTGTTAAAGACGGTTTGCAATTTTTTAAGGAAAGAAAAAAACGTAATGATATTAGATTTCACATTTTTGACCGATAAGCATTTTATATTAGCAGCTGGTATGGTTAGCATGTCAAACCTCAAAGTGATTGATTAGAAAACTGGAACACTTTAACAGAACATGTTCATATTTTTTTGAATGCAACAGTTTGTAAGCGGATATTAAACCAAATAAATTTGCTTAATGAAACACTGTGGTATGTCGCTGTGAGTTTATGAAAAATGAGTTCAATCTTAGACTTGTGCAAGGCTAAGTAAAGTGCTTATCTGAATGTAGTTACTTACTCAAACTGGAAAAGCTCACCATTGGAATAAAATTAAAATCAAGTGAATATTTAGGGCAGACAATCTCAGAAGAGACTTTTGCACTTATATGGATCCTTGTAAATGTCAAGGATCCATGAAGGTGTAACAGGTGTTGCTCAATTTAAATAGATTGTCTTTCTTTTTGGAAATTCCAACTGACTGGTTCCCAGGAAGGATCAACCAAGCTGTAACTTTCCACCTCTCACCACTCAGTTTCTCTGTGCATCTCTACTTATGAGGACCAGTTTAAATAAAGATCTCAGTACTCTGTTGCACTGCAGGGAATAACTAAACAGTTTGTCTAAAATTTGGTCTCCACCTCTTGCCTTGGAGCAATTGTGACTTGAGTTGTGCAAAAAAAAAAAAAAAATTGTCTAAAGCAAAAACCGAGTAAGAGCCGCTTGTTCTTGGCTCACTCTGAATAAACTTGAGTGGGAAGTTTGCAGTAAGCAGTGAAGGTGCTTGATCTTTTATCATTTTGAGGAAGAAAAAGGCCATGCTTAATCTGTCTTCAAAGAATGTGCTGTGTCCCACTGTCCTATCTGTCATTGGTTATTTCTTGAAGAGGAGCCTATAGCCCCTAACAGGTCATGGTGATTTTCAGACCAAGCAGAGATAAAAATCCAACTCTTCAAATAGGCTTGCAGATCAACAAGTCCTTGTTAACACACAAGAAAGGAGAAGTCCATTAACACCTTCATACAGTATTTCTCAGACTCTGACCTTCCTTTTTACTCAATAGAGGCTGATCAGACCTTTGATACGCAATCTCTTTCTTGTGGCTGTTTAGACTGAATAGTGCTTTCAAATTTTCTCCACATCATCAAAGAGAGAAGTTTCAGTGAATTAGGATTGCTATGACCTGGGTTTAATCCTCAGTCGTCTCTTGGCCCCAGAAAGGTGGTCAGGCAAGGGAAGTTGTAGAGCGAATGACATTACCTCTTGTCTCCAGATGTTGGTGTTATTAATATCTTGCTCCCATTAGGCACTCTTGTTATCTAGCTTTATTCTACCCGAATGGCTTTAGAGCATTTTCTTTCCCTATTTTGCCACTTTACAGTTACAGTAAAGTGTCCACTTTACATACAACAGTTTCTCAGAAATATTCACTCACTCTAGGATGATAAATGAGACCTGTTGAATTTTCGAAAAATGTGTTGGCTTGGATCGGCTTTTAACTTGCTATGCAAAGTTGAGGACAAATGATAGCTTTCAACTGAACTTGTTTGATGAATTGACAGCTATATTGTTTTGTGACAATTTCAGCTGTATTATTTAGATGCAAAATTGTACAGATGTGCATTAAAACTAGAGTGAGATGTGGGAGCAGAGCCAATTTTTCCGGCGGATTGATAGTGATTACAGCTATTAGTCTTGAAACTCTTCACAATGTGTCATTTTCTTGCAACCAATGTCTTCGGTAGTGTGTTTCTTGGTCTTAGGTGCTGTTGAGTTAGCAAAGAGACAGCTTTAAATTACTGTCTTTGTCCTATTGTGAGTGGCACATCGAGGCTGTAATGTGATTGCACTATATATTCAAGAGGGTTAACTGTTTTGATTTTTACTTTGCACTATCACTGTTATTCTAATTAATGATTGATTCATAATTTGATGAGGCTGTACAATTTTCATGAGTACATAAATTTGATGAAGAGACTGATGCCAAAGAGACAGTAGTTTCCCTGTTATTTCAATGCTGACATCATCAAAACAGTAGGTTGAATTGTTCTCCCCGTCTTTCTTTGTTGGACTTATAATGATTCCTGCATTTTTCCCACAGGAACACTCCATGATGTTCTCACTGGAATGTCAAGTGTGCACTTCGTCATCCAACATGTCTCCTTAAATAGCCATGACAGGGTGATTTTTTTAATAGGAGAATTACTCATAAGGTTGCATCATAAGCACATAAGCGTGCGGGTCCTGTTTCAGCGCATAAACACAAAATAGACTGACAGAAGAAGAGCTGATGACAAACAGGGAATGCACACTGCCGAGTGGGCCCCTGTGTTATTATTAGCTCTCTGAACTCCGCTTGGCGGACCGACAGAAGTTCTGGGAATGCACTTGTTCCTCCTTCTTGAAGAAGCAGACATGTCATATTTTCCTCCTTCTGGTGAGTAGTCCTTCTCACCCCCCTCCTGAAGTATCTGGACCTCATTTAGCCCCCCTTTTGCCTTCCGTCCCCGGCGGGTACAGTTTTTGCGGCTTCCCTTCGGTGGTCGTGGTAGAGGTGGGGGCGAAGGCAAACTGTACTGATCCCCATGCGGCAGGTAAGGCCGCTGATGATGGTTGTGATGGTTTCTGTGGCGGTTTAGGTGGTTTAAAGAGTCTCCATGCTCCGTCTCCTCTCCTGAGGTACCTCTTCCATGGCCCTCATTGGACAAGCAGCTGGGTAGCTCTTCCTTCTTTATGGACTTCATATCCTTTCCTGCCAGCTCTGGTGGTGAAACACAGATCAGAGTGGAGGTAGAGCCCCTAAACCTACGAAGCCAGTCCCAGAGTGATAGGGCCTTGCAGTCGCATTCCCAGGGGTTGTCGTTAAGACGCAAGTACTCTAGGGCTGGCAGTTGCATCAGGGTGGCACCTGACAGCTCAGTTATAGAGTTATTAAACAGGTAGAGAGTGGTGAGTCGACGAAGGTCGTGGAATGCCTGCCGATCAACCCACTGGATACGGTTTTGGTGCAGGAGAAGTCGGTCCAAAACCCCCAGTCCTCGGAACGTGTTCTGGCGAAGACTCCAAAGTCGATTTCCATGCAGGAAGAGATGACTTAGGTTTAGGAGGTCGATGAATAAATCATCTTCTAAGAACTCTAATTGGTTGTCCTATAAAATAAGAAAGAAAGAGAGACAAGAAAGTTGATCTTGAAATGAGTAATAACTTGCCACTCTGATATAAACACAGTATTTTGCATCATTCCACACAGTGTATTATATTTGCCATAAAGATTATAGTCACACAGTTATACTTTATGAATTCAATGAAAAAGCTGAACTATGCAGATTTTAGGGATTACTGGAAATCTGCAAAGCTCAGAAAGGCTTTTAGGTCACTATAAAGCGTGCTCCATGTCATGTGCTTGTGGCAGTGTGATGAGTTTAAAAGGAGTTTTTCCTCTCCACTGTGGTTGCATGCTTACTCGGTGTGAGGGATGCGACAAAATGCAAACAAAAATTGTTGCTGCAATCTCATCCTGGGGAAACGTGTGTTGTAAGTCAATGCAACTGACTAGTTTTCCATGATTAAAACATTTATCCATTCTGACTGTATTGGCTCTGTAAAGTGTGCTAAGATGAAGTGTTGTGAATCGGTACAATATATGTAAAAAAAAAAAAAAACTGAATTGAACTGAATTGAAGTCCTATGAACAACGACTGGCTTCCTTTGATTTCATGTTTGATTTAACATCTATATGGGTGCTCATAAACACATTTTCTTATAGGTTTTATAGGAAAATATTGATCAGATCTAAAAACAATTCTGCATAGTGTTATGTACTGTGTCTTTTGAACCTGGTGATTGCTCTCTGTAATCTTATATGTATATGAGAATGCTTGTCTTCCTTGTGCTGCTTAAACACAGTTCAATTGATAGGTAAGTTAATTTATCAACTACTGGGATTTCATTAGTGTCAGATATCTGGCATGCTTAAGTATGGGTAAAATCATAAAACACTATAGTGTAAGGAATACAATGTAAAAGTAAACAGTAGAGCAAACTGGCAGTTATAAGTACCTGTAGGTAGAGATACTGGAGATTATGTAGGCCAGAAAAGATCTCTGGAGGCAGGCTGATCAAACCACAGTGGTACAGATGTAGGGCATGTAGCCGACCCAGGCCCATGAAAGTGTCTGAGGCAACAGCCTTCAGGTAGCGATTGTCTCCCAGGTCGAGCTCTTCCAGCCGCTCGAAGCCATGGAATGTGGACGGCTGTATGTAGGAGATGTTGTTTGAGTAGAGCCACAGCATGGTGGTGGTGGGTGAGAAGTGGCCCCGGAGCAACCGCTGGATCTTGTTGTTCTGCAAGAAGACGCGCTCGCTCTGAGCTGGGATGCCTTCGGGCACAGCGTGGAAGTTGTGGGCCTGACAGGAAACAGTGCTAGGTGAAGTGTAGCAGATGCAGTGACGGGGGCAGGGCATGGAGAGATCCAGGCCCCAGAGCACCAGCAGCAACTCCACCCCGCCATAACCTGAGAAAACATAGAGTGAGAGTTAACAAAGGTCATGCAGCAATGCTTCTGTTATCAGACACATCCTGACTGAACCACTCAGGGTTAGCAGTTTACAAAGATTTGAATGGGCAGAGTGTTATGCAGGAAGATTTTCTATAAAACACTCCATCAGAACTTGAACCGCTCCTTACAGGTTTTGAGGCTTCCTTTCAAAAATATAAAAATACCCTTTTTTATTGTGTGGTGGTACGGCTTAAAAAGAGATATATATATACAAATTTATGCTCACATTTCCTGCAAAAGTCATGATGCTGACTTCCTAAACGGACTAAATAACAAAGGTTCGAGGCACTAAATCGCACTCCAGCAGTGAAGGCTGTCCCACATCAGGAAGAGGAGGTGCTCTGCCTTGACACAGCCGACGTGTGGAAGACTCTGAGGAGGGTCAACCCGCGGAAGGCCCCAGGTCCCGACAACATACCTGGGCGGGTGCTCAAGGAGTGTGCAGGTCAGCTAGCTGGTGTCCTCACGGACATTTTTAACACCTCGCTGGAGCAAGCCACAGTGCCAGCATGCTTCAAGTCTGCCTCCATCATCCCAGTGCCAAAGAAACCTCAAGTCACCTGCTACAACGACTACCGGCCCGTCGCACTGACTCCCATCATGATGAAGTGCTTTGAAAGGCTGGTAAAGGAACACATCGTCTCCAGTCTCCCCCCAACACTCGACCCGTTCCAGTTTGCCTACCGGCGAAACCGCTCCACTGAGGACGCCATCTCCTCTGCTCTTCACCTGAGCCTGGCCCACCTGGAGGAGAAGAACACCCACGTGCGGATGCTGTTCCTGGACTTCAGTTCAGCGTTTAACACCATCATCCCACAGCACCTGGTGGAAAAGCTGGAACATCTGGGCTTCAACACACCCCTTCGAAACTGGCTGCTGGACTTCCTCACCAACAGACCTCAGTCGGTCCGGGTCGGTCAGAACACCTCTGACGTCATCACCCTCAGCACGGGCTCCCCTCAGGGCTGCGTCCTGAGCCCCCTGCTGTTCACCCTGATGACATATGACTGCGTCCCCAGGTTCACCACCAATCACATCGTGAAGTTTGCGGACGACACAACGGTGGTGGGCCTCATCAGGGACGACAACGACCGGGACTACAGAGAGGAGGTGGAGCAGCTGGTGGACTGGTGCAGTGAAAACAGTCTGATCCTGAACGTGGAGAAGACGAAGGAGATCATCGTCGACTTCAGGAAAAACCGCCCCCACCATGCTCCACTGCTCATCAACAGCTCAGCTGTGGAGGTGGTCAGCAGCACAAAGTTCCTGGGGGTGCACATCACGGACAACCTCACCTGGACTGTAAACACTTCATCTCTAGTGAAGAGGGCACAGAAGCGCTTGTACTTTCTGCGGAGGATGAGGAGAGCCCGCCTGCCCCCGCCCATCCTCACAACCTTCTACAGAAGCACCATAGAGAGCATTCTGACCAGCTGTCTCTCTCTGTGGTGTGGAGGCTGCAGAGCCTCTGACTGGAAGAATGTGAGGAGGGTGGTGAGGACAGCAGAAGGCATCATTGGGGCTCCTCTTCCCTCCATTAAGGACATTTCATCACAGCGCTGTGTGTCCCGAGCCCGTAATATCATCAAAGACCCCTCACACCCCCACCATGGACTGTTCTCCCTGCTGCCCTCTGGAAAGAGGTTCCGCAGCATCCGCTGCAGATCCACCAGGTTGTGCAACAGCTTCTTCCCCACTGCCATCAGACTGTTGAACCTTTGATCCACAAACCGAACTCTGCACCTATTGCACATTATCGGGCATCAAATGCTGCTGAACTTTTAACTTTTAGCCCTTTAATTGTTCATCTCATTCTATTTTCAATAACGCATTTTTTGCACAAATGCCTATTTGCACTGAATCCACTGCAACTTGCACACTGTCTCTTATCCTCTGCACTGTTCACACTTTGACCACTACTGCACTTTTTGTATTTTTCTATAACTTGAGCCATTTGAAATATCAATGCAACGTTCATAAGCTGTATGTAACGCAATTTCGTTCTGTATGCACCCTGTGCATACAAAATGACAAATAAAGAAGTCTAAGTCTAAGTCTAAGTCTTAGCGGCTGCCTAAAATGCACTGTGTAATATCCTTTGGTTCTCCTACAAAGTCAACAGGAAATCGATTTTTCTCCTTCTTACAAGCGAACACACAGCACACCTGTAATGCTTTCCCACAATAAGGGGAAACCAAGATGGAGCAAGGAGGGAGGGCAAGAAAAGGAAGGGGGAGCGTAGAAATGATCCACACCCTCTCAAGTGGGTATTCCTGTGTCTTATCAGGTTGCCCTCAAATCATTTATTTTATTTTCATTGGATTTTTTTTTTTCCTGCCTTGAATCATTTTAGTGTTTGATGTTTCATCGAGCAAGAAAAAGAAAATTAGGAGGAAAAGAAAGTGGGAGAAAAGAGCTGAGGATGGAGAGACACACTGATCTAGGAATAAGATATTGATTAAATAAGAAATGAAAAATCTTAGTTGAACATCATACATTCAACCCTATGAGAAGATATGTGTCCACCCTTTTTGGTTTTAAATTCAAGCAAGAACATTTGCAATAGTTAATAGATGTTTGGTTTGTCGAATAGCCATTGGATAGGTGGTCATTGCATTATATCAATGAGCATCCTCTTGGGGAAGTAAAGTAAATAAGGCAAAAGTAGAGTCGGTAGATAGTAGTGAAAGATGCACATTCGTATTCTGTTAAAGAAAACATGTATTCAAATGACACCAGAGGACTCCAGAGTACAAAACCATGACCTGGTAACATAAAGCATGTGCAGCAATGTTTGTCTGTATATCTGTAACAAGGCAGATGTTACATTTGACAAACCTGACCTCTCTTTTGGAAGAAGTTAAAAGAAAAATAACAGCTGCAGTCCTGACAACCTTAATCCTTTTTAAAATACTTTTTGCCAACACCATATCAACACTTTAATAATTTATGAGTTGATGAATATTTATTAATAGTGGTTGGACAACAACTACTTAATTATTTGTTAGTTTGGAAATGTTTTTACCATTTAATCTAAAATATTAATGAATAATTAAAAATCAACAATAAATGATTCAGACAACTAAACTGTTTTATAACGCACAGCACAGTTTTAACTGTTTGCTATCAGCTCGAAATGTCAATATGATATTAATTTAAAAATATGACAAAGAAAACTGTGGAATAAATAAACAAGGCATTTCCATATCTTTTATGCCTATTTTAAAATCCTAATTGATCAAAACAGTCTTGTTCATATTTTATATGGGGCCTCATTTAGCCACAGGCGCAATACAAATTTGATAAACCCATAAGGACACTTAAGCCCTGGCGGATCAGCGGTCACCATAAGTGCTATCTGAATAGGGCTGGCAGTAAGAACTGAGGTAGGAAGAAGCAAAATTCGTCCTATCGATAGTTAATTTAGCATTTGAACCTCAAGAGGTTCTTATCCGCCGCTACGGAGCTATAATTGTTCCTCACAATCCTTTGTGTGATAGGATGTAAAGGCAAAGACAACCTCATATAAAAAAATAAAACAACATAATTTCTTAACATGTACACTATGCAATATATGTAAATTTAAAAATCTTGATTTGATTTGAATGTTATAATGATTGTGTTGTATTTTTCTAGAAAGGCCGTTGTCCCGATCTGACACCTTAAATCCCTGTGTGTTGCAGTCACATAATAACAGCACAGCAGTCTGGAGTTACTTTCCTACCCATAATAGAGTTTTACTCTTGACCCCACAAAACGTGAAAGAAAAGGAGCTAAAATTTGCCTAATTCAAAATCAGCCAAAGTTTTATCAAGATACTACCTCAGAGATGGGGATAACCTTCACAACCCAAATATTCCTTTGGCTTCATATATTAGAATAGAATGTTTAAATATTCAATTGACATTTAAGTTAAAATGAAAATATAAGAATCTGTTATTTTATTTTGTGATTAATATATGGACCTGTTTTAGCAGACAGTGATAGGAATAAAAAAAACTTTGAATGAACGGGTTTAACTAAGACTTTACCAGCACAGATGAGCTGCACAACTACACAGGTAAATGTGTGAATAATATATAAGCTCCGAACACTTTTGTTGTTTTCAAAAGAGGAGTCTTGGGCTTTAGAACATGCCTCAAGCTGAAGTGCAGCTTATCTTCAGTTCCCTTTCAGCTACAGACAACTCGCTCTCTGTGCTTCCTGTTATCGCAGGACCCTGATGTTGCTAAAAAACTTTGCAGTTTCTGCCAGGGATCTACCGTATTATATTTTGTTGCTAGATTAAGTTATAATTAAGACAGCTCCAATAGATATGGCTAAATGGCTTCACTGCTTCTAAATTTCTTTAAATTGACGTCAACTCCTGCATCTGGGAGGGAGGTGAAGGTTGGGTATCTGTGAAAAAAGAAAAGATCCTGCTGTAGAAAGTGGCGATATTTCTATTTATGTAAACATTTCCATGTGACTGTTGATGCCTGCTTTAAATAATAAAACAAATGAAACATTTTATCCAAAATAAATACATTTTTTTTATTTCAGCTAGCAATATTTATCAAATAAATGTTCTAACTTAATTGCCATGTGTCAAAGACATCATGAATTTAATACAGGTAATGGAAACAGACTGATAAAAGTAAAAGTTCTGACTTCTACCTCAGTAGAAGTAAAAATACACAAGTTCTACACTATGAAAGTAAAAGTTAAATGTTTTGCATTAAATTATACAAAATAATTTTCACTGACTTATTTCTAAAAATACTGTTCTATAAACAAAAAAACAAGTTAATTTATCTTGTTTTGTGTTGGAAAGCAGACCATAAACATAGTGGCTCTGTTTAGGTTGTATTAAAATGAAAATTAGACAAGATAAAATAGCTTGAACTGAAAAGATATACGAGCAGCTGGACACTTTTAGAGTCCCGGTATTCACAGCATTAGAGTTGTTTTTTCCC